ACAACGACGAAAAATAAATATTCCACTGTATTATACAACAGAAAGTATTAGGAACACGAACTTCCTGTTAGCTGGCTAAGGCATTCTGTTTAAGTATTCTTGAAACATTTTCACCCACCTTTGTGTTTTTTAATTTCATAATTATAGTTTCCATTTACTGTTTCTGATCAGTGATCCATAGCGAAATCAGGAAATACAGCGAAGGTCTGGCCTGGGTGAATTTTGAGGGTACGTAAGCGTTACAAATACCCCCCCCCCCTCAATTAGTGGGTAGTAAAATGTTTGTTGAATAACTGGAAAAGTTATTCGTTGGACGAAGGATGTTTTATTGTGTAAAAAAAAAATGTAAAAAAAAACGGATCTGAGGTTCGAACCTTGTATCTTCTGATCTACAGCATGCTAACCACAAGGCCACGCCTGACCCTTGTAACATTTAAAATAAACGTTTGTACGCTGTAACTTACGTTCTCCACAACCTCCAAATAATGAAATGTGTTAGAAAAATTTATGTATGGATTTTTCTGTTTGAAAATTAAAATAAAGTAGGTTCATGGGTCTTATATATGAAATATAGCACAACAGTCAAAGTAAATGTTTATTAGAAAGCTCAGTAAAGTACTTATGGACAATATCTGAATCAGATCTTTAGGGCATTAAAAAAACAGTTATTGACAAAATTAGAGTATGTTTCTTAATTTTGTTTCAAGTTGGCGGCGTTTGTAGGTTTGATACGGGTAACAAAGCAACTGCCCGCGAGATGGCGCTGTGATTATTAGCGGATGGCCGTTCAGTGCAGCGCTGTAAACGTGTTTACACCTATGTGTACACCGGTATCAACAGGAAAGGTAAATTAAGAGAGAGTCAGGTAAGAGACCTTCGTGTTGTGGCTTTTATCACACAAATGTATATGTAAACATCTAAATCAGTGTAGTTTTTGTGATATGATTTCACGATTGCTTTTATAAATGTATCTATCGTGTTTGAATTGTGAGATTTTTACCAACAATTGTCTTGTAAATATTGCAAAATATATAACAATTTTTGTTTAAAAAAATATAAAAAGGAAATACACTTACGCAGTTGTTACGCCTGCTTATCAAAATTAAATAAAGGCCTGTGACATCTATCAGGATTTTCTGTTAAGTAACAACCCATTAGGTCTTCGGTGGGACAGCGGTAAGTTTACAGACTTACAACGCCAAAATCCGGGGCTCGATTCCTCGCGGTGGATATCTCAGTGTGGTTTTGCTGTGAAACAAACAGAATTACCCATAGCTTGGTCACCGTTTTTCGCAGTTATTTCAATACTTCTATTTCTTTATGCATTATACATTAATTACAGAAAGTGGGTGAAGGTGTATGTATTAATTAACTTGTAATACCGTTTTTTTTTAACTGTTCTATAGAAACAGGTCGAGAAGGCGACCGACCTAGATCCCGTTGTTGTGTCCTAGAGCCTAAATAATCAGTTAAAAAACAATAATGTATTATAATTAATTCCTACCGTAAAAAAACTGATTTGTGACTTAAACGAAAATAATGATAATTGCTGTTCACATGCTTAACATGATTCACACCATGAAAGTCGTTATTTATGAAAGCTGATTATGTATGTAGCGCCTAGACCACTATTGTGCTTGTATTTCCAGCCAGCCTGATGAGCCATGCATGGTATTATTCGAAAGGTCTCGTCGGCACAGGACATAGCAAGTCTGGTGTGGTTGACATACAACGTATTCTTCCTTGCATTAAATCACGGGTTCTTAGAATAACGTAAACAGATTGCAATTCGCGTGATTTAGGCTGAAAATGTATTGTAGAAATTACGATGTAACATGGCCCGGCATGGCCAGGTGGTTAAGGCACTTGACTCGCAATCTGAGAGTCGCGGGTTCGAATCCGTCTCGCACCAAACATGCTCGCCCTTTCAGCCGTGGGGGCGTTATAATGTGACGGTCAATCCCACTATTCGTTGGTAAAAGAGTAGCCCAAGAGTTGGCGGTGGGTGGTGATGACTAGCTGCCCTCCCTCAAGTCTTACACTGCTAAATTTGGGACGGCTAGCGCAGATAGCCCTCGTGTAGCTTTGCGCGAAATTGAAAAACAAACAAACGATGTAACGTTTCCTTCATTATTTGATTTCCAGTATAATCGCTCACTAATATACGTAATGCAAGCATGTCGTTCTTTTTACCAGTGTATGGTGTAGGGGAGGGGAATAATTTATAACCTGTAGCAGAACTATACGAGCAGCAGATGTAACCGTTGGAGTCACGTGACGAAATATGTACGTGTTAGCTCGTGGTGAATCGTGTATGTGTTCGTACGTTCTTCTTTGTACCAATAGAACAATGCTGCAGACTGAATTAACCCCGTGGAGAACACCACGAGGCATTCTTGCTTTTAGGAACCATATAAAGGTCCACATGTGTTTGGCATTTTACGTTCTGTTTGCATGGCGATCGATCTCCCGTTCCCCATGCATACAGAGTTAATGTGGTCATTATGTCAGGTGCGTGCTGCATTGGGATTTTCCAGCTGGTAGGTTTTTGCAGGTAGGCCAGAGTTTCAATAGTTTTCTTATTCATGAGATTGTTACTTCCGCATAAGCATGAAGTAGCAACTGAGTTATTTGTCCGCACTTTCCGGAAAGTTCTGTAGAATTAACTTTTTGTCTAAGTGTTTTAATAATGGTGACATTTTTGAAAATCGAAACATGCTAAGTTGAGTAGGCTTTACTCACGCCTGTACGGTAGGAACAAATGGTCATAACTTGAGGAGTTTAATGCGTGTTGTTAATGTTCTGTTTCAAGAGTAAATAAAACCAAAAATAAGAGTAACAGATATTCATATTTCATGATTTTGAATTTAATATGTCATGCTGTGTTGTAGCCTACAGAGTGCATTATTCTTCTCGTGATTCATGGCATTTGCGTGTTTCAGTGACTTCACGACAATACAAATTGCAACGTTGAGCTTCTCTTATGTGACGTCGTTTTAGTGTAAAATGACTGACTGACAGACAAGTAACCCACTTTCCGGGAACAATACATTTAAAATATATACAGCAAATCTTACACAAACAGGAGTTGTGTGATTGACTTGAAAAAAGAAGCACCGGTGAAAGTTATACTAACTCTAATGAGGTCTCATTGTTCAGATGACTGATGTAATCTGCCAGCTTTCTGGCCTCCGTGTTCTGTTGTATCTTCTCTCTACATTTAGTAATAAAGAAATTTAACAGTTCTTGCATACCTACACCTCTACTCTTATGTCACAACTTTTGTACGCGGTCCATTTATATGTTTCACTTGTTGACTATGAAATCTAGCTTTTTCACTTCGTTAGGAATGTAAAACCACTGAACTTATATTTTGAATTTAAATAGCTTTCAGATGGTAATAATGTATTTTCCTCAACCTCTATGAATTTGTTTTCAGGTTTTATTTGCATAAATTATATTCTGACAAAATGTTATGATTAATAACTGGGAATTAGGCCAAACTTCTTGCTGGTGGTAACATTCATTTACACCGAATGGTAAACAAAATGATTTCTCATTGTTGAAGAAGTCTTTGTTTAAAGACAGTGATAATTTTATACAGTCACCTGTTTCAATAAACAATTAACGCCCTTCACGTACTTGCTGACGTAGCAAGACTCCTGGAACTATTCGTATAATGCTTGCTCGAAGAGAATCTCCGCGACAACCTTCTGTGAAACCTTTACATCTGTCGTGAACACTTGATTTTGATACTGCTGTGAATTATATAAAAAAAACACTGGAAAAATAGTGCTTTAATATTCCACAGTTTGTTGAACTGAATGCTATCCTTTTGGCTCTATAGTATGCTTGAAAGCTTATAACGCTAAAATTCAGGCTTCGATCACTTAGAAGATGACAACACAGATATACCCTATTCTGTAACTTTGCCCTGAAACAAACACGTTTTAAGAGAAATAGACACACAGTAGTGCTAGTAACTAATGAGTAAAGGCAAGAAAATATGTTACACTGTGTCAACCTCACTACATCTACCATATCCAGTGTTGACAAGACCTTCCATCTAATATCAGGGCCCATCAGGCCTACTGGGATACAAAAGACACAGTAACGGTCTTGGTGCAACATACACACGTATCATCAGTTTTCATTAACAACAACTGTTATGGTGTGAACCAGGTTAAGCAAGTGACATACACTCGTTATCAATGTTATTTGAGTTATTTAGTAGCCAGATGTTTACGACAAGAATTAATAACATACCGTTATTTTATTTTGTAATTGTAATCGCCGATTGTTTATTTATCTATATTTATTATTTTAATTACTATCATTCTCAAAACTTGCGAACCAGCAAGTTAGTCTTACCCTCGAAGCTGGCAAGTAACAAGAGTCAACGGTAGAAAACCGCATTAGTTTCTTTTCGCCATTTTAAAAGATTGAAAAAGCATAGACATTTCCATACTTGACCGTGTAGTGATACTGTCAGTGTGATATACGAAGAATCACTAGTATAAACACTTGTATATGCACGCACGGTTTATAATGAATTTTACACAGTTTGCTTGCAAATATCCTGCAAAACAAGAAACTTGTCTATCACTGCAAAGAATTCTCGAGGTCTCTGGAGAATATGTATACGCTAGATGTACTTCCGAAAGGTCCCCGTAAACATTCTGTTAAGAGTAAATAAAACCAAAATTAAGAGCAACAAGTATTTTTATTTCTTGCTTTTGAAGTTTATATGTCATACTATGTTGTACTTTACAGAGTGCATATTTCTTCTCGTGATTCGTGACATGCGCACGTTTCACCGACTTTACATATTGCAATGTGACGTCATTTTAGTGTCTACTGACAGACAACACACTACTGTATTGTGGTGCGAGTGGTTAAAACAGGTGACCCCTACAGTCGGTCTTCGGTCCCCTTTCGGGGAAATAAAGCAATTCATCGCAGAGATAATTTGACTTATGGCTTGATCTTGTTTTTTCTAGAAAATGATTGAATGGAAGGAGTAAGACTAGAAGTTTTTAATTATACAATTCCTGATTGGAGATCGGCGTTTCTCAACGGACTGTGATTGGTCTTACTTGAGTAAGTAATCTGTATTCTGCTTACATTGATTAAAACATACGGTTACGCAAGTAAAATGTCTAAAATAAATTTCAGCCTCTCTTTTTAATTAACCAGTTGGATAATATTGTTAAAACGGAAACATTTTCTGACTTTGTTAAAGTTATCCAGACATTTTTCCACGAGTATAGCAGCTTTATCAGAAAATCATTATTGTTTTTTATTTCAAGATGAAAAGATGATACTTTAATATTCTAATCTCATTTGTAGTGATCGTAAGTATTATATGTAATAACTATGATTGAAATCGCGTACTTATTTTCTGGGATATTAATAACAGTTTGCCGTTTCTTTTAAAGTTACTTTGATACTTTATTTGTATCTTTTTTTTTTACTAAAGATTTAGAAGTTTTTCTACAGAGATTATAAAGATCCTAAAAAAAAGGAGTAAATTGAAACTGGAACAACACAGTAAGCTCCGTATCACCTTTTCCAATTCTTATTATTTGTGTTCATTACTTTTATCTGCTTTTTACGCATATTTTACATCCTTGAAGTGATTCACCCGAGAAGCTTCATTTATTGTGAAAGGCGCTAAGTTTAAGACATCCAAACTTTATGTATCTGTGGGATGTATTCACTTTTTTCCCCGCTAAGCCTTATTATTTTGCTTATTAGACTTAACGTAGTTATAGGTATAGACACCTGTAATTTCTCCAGTTGCTTATTATGCCTAAACAATTTCAGTAAAGTGTTGTTATGTTTAAAATAAGCCTAAAGCCTGTTATTAGGCTTAATACAGATACCTGTGATTGGCCTAGTTACTTATTATGCTAAATAATTTACTTATTATGCTTAAACAGTCTCAGTAAAGTGCTGTTAGGTTTAAAATAAGCCCAAAGCCTGTTATTAGGCTTAATACAGGTACCTGTGATTGGCTTAGTTGTTTGTTACGTTAAATAATTTTATTAAAATGCTGTTACTTTTGTTTAGAATTTAGATAAATTCATTAGCCGTAACAAACAATAGTTACCAACGTTGTATCTCTTTTGTTTCATTATATTTTTCATATTTATTTAAATACGTTTTTCAACCAATCACAACTGATAGACACTTTATTTTCTGTTTTGATTGTTGACTCGTTGTGTTTCGACAGTTGAATTATACTTCATATTTTTTTTCCTTCATTTGGTCAGCGGCAAGTTTGCGGATTTGCGACGCTAAAATCTGGGGGTTTAATTCCCCGCAGTGGTTGACCGAGTGTAGATAGCCCAGTTGGCTTTGCGCTAAAACAAACGATCAAACAACTTCATATTTTTTTTCACCATTTTTTTATTTTTGTAGAATCAGAGAGAAGAGACATTGAATATGAAGCACAAATAAAAACATAAGTAGGGTAACTGAACAAATAGAAGGGCTCTACTAGCTTCTGATTACATTACGACAGTCAAAACGCCCTCGGTTTCGTTTTTTTTTTTTTTTAATTGTTCTTGGATGCGGTTCAACGTATTGATTAACGTTAAATCGATGTAAACTCTGCCGGAAATGACACTTGTGTAGCAGTATGCCGTCCTTAATGCGTTCTTTTGGTCTTTGGGATTTTAGAAAATTTAACAGAAAACGCTGTTTTATTTATTTACTTTTTCGTTTGATTGTTTATACAAGGCATTTTTACCGTAGAATTAAAAAAAATACACAAAACATATGACCATGTGCAAACGGAACAAAACAACAAAAACTTCTGTTAAATATTAAATTTTATTATCACCACAGACCCATTAAGGACAGTGTACTTTTACACGAGTGTGAATGAACGTGCTCAACAGTATCCGACTTTCTTAAGAATATAAAAAGGCGTAGAAATTCCGATTGTACATCTTTAGTCAACATTACGTTACGTATTCGATGTGTACGCTTGACAAAGCCTGGTGGTTACGACGATCTGTTCGTAAGCTGTAAATCGCGGGTTCGAAGCCTGTCACCGAACATGCCTCGCACTTTCAATCGTGGGGGCATTATAATGTGACGGTCAATCCTACTTTTCGTTGGTAAAGAGTAGCCCCAGAGTTGTCGGTAGGTGACGCTACTTTCGCTATAGCCTGGCACTTCTAAATTAGGAAGGCTAACGCAGACGTTATATTCCTCGAGTAGCTTTGTGTGAAAATTAACTAAAACAAGGTTAACCAATACGATAACATGCATTTTAAGCGTTTCAAGAAAGCTTTTTGTTAAAATTTTGAAGTTAATTATATACAAAAAATAATGCACAACTTTGGCCGTGAATATTTTAGTACTCAGTGGTATCCAGTTATCACTTTATTGACGACTTAATGATATGGGTACACTTTTTTAATGCAATCATTGTCAAAGGATAACTTAAATTTGATTTTACAAAAGTATAACATGTGCACTTTTTTGTTGTTGTTGGTGGTGGTTTTTTAACTTACACAACATTTCGGAAAAACTTAATTCATCGTGTTTGTCTTGTAGACGATTAAAAATTATCTCTAAATTCCGTATGTAAAAAGATGTCCTATTTTCAACCTGTAACGTTAACCAAACTTCATCCACCTGTTTGAGCTCATCAGGTGACGACGTTTCAACCTGAAGAACCTCGAACGTTTCTACGTGAATACCTTTTCCTCGCGAATCGCATTCCTCGCTTTCAAGAATGTTTGATATATATATGTTGTCGGTTTACGTTATTTTTGTAACATCAAAAATAAACTGATGGTGATATTTAAAACGAACCAGTCGGTTGTTTTACCAGTTAATTATAGTCTGGCAAAAGGCCATAAGTTTTTTAAGTAACCGGCGTGTTTGGTACAGATGTTCTAGACCAAACATTTTGTATCTACAAGTTTATTCGACAACTGTTGCATGCGACAGAAACTGACGTCTTGGTAGAAAAAAATAAAGAACGTAGCAATCATTAAATTGACATTAGTGGTTCATCTTTCTGTAATCCTATAATTGGAACACTTTAGGGTAAAGTACTCAGATGCTTTGTGTTATAGTAATGTTTCATCACATATGCTGTCTGAAAGATTGCTGGGTTTTTATGAGAATAGTCGAAAAGAAAGAGGAACAGAAGAAGATAGAGTTACAAGTTGGATACTTCGTTATTCTGAAGATGTGATTAATAATTCGCCATTGCAACGGTAAGTTAATCATTAATATATATATAACTATGTATTTCTAGGCGCACTTATAAATATATATTAAGAGTTATATGAAGAATGAAAGTTACGACAGTGTCTGTCTTGATGTGTATTTTATACGAATATAAACTCATTCATTTTGAATAAAATTATATTTTTCATTATTCTGAAGTACTACAGGATTACTGTAAATTCTTTAACACTGCTTACTTTAGAGTGATTTATCGAACTTGTAATATACCCAGTTACTTGAATTTTCATTTGAATCCATTCTCAGGATTAAAACCCGGAGATATTTCGATAACTTGTGCGACGGATTGAGACAGGTGATCCAAGTTGCATGTAATCGATTTTTGAAATAAAACTAATTAATTTATCGTGAATATAATTTCGATGTGTGATTAGAAGGATAAATAACCTCGGATTTACGCTACCGCATAGTGGCGCTTGAAAAGTTTAATAAAGATAAGCTTATTCATGTCAACCTTAGGAACTTGACAGTCTGATCATCGCGACACGTGCTTGTGAAAGAGGCGCATGTTAGAAGTTTCTACTTAAGTGGCCACCGGTGGCTCTGCGGTAAGCTTGAGGGTTTACAAAGCTAAAAATCGGGGTTAGATATCTGCGGTGGGCACATCGTAGACAGCCCACTAGGTATCTTTGTGCTTAAAAAACAAATCATGTAATTGTAAGTTCGCACGTGAGCCACTTGTCACGTTTTCGTCACTGAAGCAGTTTGTTGTCAACCTATTGTAAAAGACCACCAAAAAAATATTATTTTTTTTATGGGAAGAGCTGTAGCTAATGTTCTAAATGTGTGTTATAGGTTTTAATGGTGTCTAAAACACGTACATTTTATCATTGAACCCATAAAAATTTCTTTCATTTTTACCTGAACATTCTTGTTAGCTTGGATATCTTGAACTCTGCGGGCACCTGTGAACATGGTTTCTTTTTTTTTTACAGGTTTATATTGTACCTAACGATACAAAATACTTAAAATAACTATTTCCTTCTTCGCATGGAATAAAAAAAAGTAGGTATTTTTGAATTGTGTTCAGGTCGTGAGTGATTTTATAAACATATAGCCATATTTGTCGTGTCGAAAGAAAATAGTGTTAGTTATTAAGCTTTAATCCTTAATTTTAATTGGTGCTCGTGATTGAGCCGTTGCGATAACAACGACATTGGCTCACAGATTCGGGTAAAACATGTTAAATATTTTCCTGTCTTTAATGTTCGGAGCTTTTTTGTAGACTTTTAATTTTGGGGTAGTACATTTATGAGAAGAAAATAAAATGTTATTTTGTCATAAAAATCAAGTCAACTGCATTTTTTTTTTATTCCATATTCATCGTAATTTGTTCATGCGGCTTTACAATCTTTTAACTCCCACAACTCGCTGCCAAAAAAAGCGTTTCGTTCAGTACCATAACTTATCAGTTATGCTGGACAATGAAAAACAAAAGACTGTGAAACGCTATTTATGTATATACAGTATAATGTTTTAAAATTAACGATTTAAAAGCCTAAGTCGGCGAACTACTTGAAAACCATTAAGCCATTTTTATATAAATATCTGTAGATAACTTTATTTTATAACAGTTAAATTCTCATAGTTTTCCTATAGGCTTATAAACCGTACATTTTAAAGCGGTATCTTGTTTTATAAAATCTGTAGTTCTTGGTTTCCAGATAAGTAGTGTAACGTAATATCTGAAACATCGCTACTTTTATTATTGCGAAAATATTTTAATTTTTGATGAAACCACGATTTTGTACACGGAATAAACGAAATTTTGACACAACTAAAAAGTATGATTCAGTGTATGTATGTATGTGTGGGTATACATCCGCCAATGTATATTAGTTTCCTGTTTTTATAAGTAATAATATAACATTTCTTTAAATTTTAATTTAAACGACATTGTGAAATGCGGGAAGCTCGCACGCACACAAACGCATATATAAATGAAGAAACAGTACATTGTATTGACGACTTCAATGCCATATAACAATATTCTATTTAGAATAATACAGTTTGACCTTTAACTGTGTACGTGAGATGTAGAGTGCAGCTGTTGGTTTATTTCACGTGTGCGAGATTGGTATTGTTGAACAGTTATGTTTTAACACCTTGGTTGGCATGGTAACGGTTTTGTGGTGGCGTAGGATGGGTCGAAGGAGTGGTAAGATGTAGATGTTATAGTACATTTTTATGAAAAGCAGTTGTACAAACGCTGCAATGATAAATAAGGTTTGTAGCGTATTGATAGAAAAGTTTCATTTATTCACGATTATTCCTAAAAATTAACGATCATATTTCAACTACTTTTTTTGTTTAAATCGACATTAGTAGAACATAAATGTATATATATATATATATATATATAAACAATGATGTTGAAACTATACCTTAAAAATCATAAATGGCCAAGCTTAGTTAGGGCAAAGTGGTGATAGACACACATATGAAAGATGTTGTGAAATCAACGCATATATTACCAAGTTAGGAATATGGCACTTAATGTACACTTAACCGTTTATGTAGATATAAGCTTTATTCAGATTTGTTCGTCTAAGAATGAATGTGTGAAATTCTGCGAGAAAACGTATCTTTGTACTTCTTAATTGAACGTCTTGGCTGCGTCTCTGTGGTGTCTGACGAAGTTGTTTTTTACGGGCAATAACAACCTGTGGTAGCGACAGTTGGTTCATCTCGACGTTTCGGGTTACTTCCGTTTCTCTCCATCTTTCTACTTGTTTGAAAGTTTCTTTAAGCAAAATCCATTGAAGTCATACTTTGTTGATTTATTCTTACAGCGAAATTACTGTGACTTACACATCATTCTATTTAAAAAAAACATTGAAATATCACTTAAAACGAGGACGCGAGTTGGCCCTATGGCGGAGCTTTGGGTGAGGACGGGGCAAATAGTCTTGGTAGCTTTGCCATAAATACAAATACGAAACGTCGAGAAATGTTTTCTAGGAGGTGCCATGTAATGAAATGCCCGGAGAACCGTTTAGCAGACTTTTGAGAATTAACTTTGGAAACCAATTCAACAAACTTCACCGTATTTCAATGCATGTGCTCATTGTAGTCATTATTTGGACAAAAAGGACGTTTTTGATTTATAATGAAGAAAGGGAAGGGATTATTTTACTATTAAAAAAAAATGTGGTGAAATTAAATGAAAATAAGTTTAATAGATAAAGTTGATTTTAGGAATAAAAAACTTGTATTATATAAACACAATACATAAAATCCTTATTATAACTATATTTCATAAACGCAATACAGTTTACTGCTACTTATGGTTAGTTTTACATCTGTTTTTGTTTATTTTAGCTTAATATATCATCATATCATTTTAGTCGCACTGCGTTAGATTTTAGTATTTTCCTAGTTCATCTTCTAGTCATTAGGTGTCAGGGCAATCGCAGTGATTATGGGCGGTGGAAGTTCTTGTACGACAACGTGATTGTACAGGGACTGAGTTAAATTATCATTTCAGTAGATAATAATAATTTTACATTAACGTTAGAGAGTAACATTGTCATTGCAAAAGGTTAGTATTTGTTGTATTAGAAAAAATAATAATTTTAAGTTAACGTTATGCACTATTGACTTTCAAATTTCAAGTTAACTGGTTGCTTTAGTTTAGTTTTAGTTTAAAGTTTTAAAACTTTTAACTACATATTAATTACCAATAATATTAATACTATATTACGTTAAGTTGAAAAGTTACTATTCTCAACATAAAATAATAATCTTTATAGGCTGTAAGTTGATGTACTAAGAAACATTTTTGTACTGGTTGGTAAAATGAATTTACTACGAAAAAGTTTCCACAATGTAAAAAAAAAAATCTGTTGTTGGCTGCAGTCCAACTTGTAACTTATACGAAAAATGCCATCCGGCAATATTCGTTGTTCAGTTGTGACGTAGTGTTCCTGTAAGTTTTTCACGTTTAACCAAACGTTTGAAATGGATGTCAAGGCCACTTTTTTCATGCTGTATGCATTATCCAGCACCACATAATTTAAATGCTATTTTAAATATTTCCACTATATTATTAATGGCAGAAATAATGTGTAACTGACTGTACTCCTTATTTCAAGATGTTCTCGATAAAATGGGAAAGAAATATACATTGTTAATTATCATATAACTTCCATGTAGTATATTAATTTTTGAAACAAAATTAGAATGAGAAATCACTATATGTAACTAAGTGTGAATTATGGTTTAGTTGTCTGAACTTTAGACATAAATCAGTCCCAACTGTAAGTCAAGTGTCATCAGGTTCAGTCTACACCAGTAGTGTGTACAACAGAATTAACAAAATATGAGTTAAGAACAGTAAGTTGAGTGTCATCAGGTTCAGTCTACACAGTAGTGTGTACAACAGTATTAACAAAATATGAGTTAAGAACAGTAAGATGAGTGTCATCAGGTTAAGTCTACACCAGTAGTGTGTACAACAGAATTAACAAAATATTAGTTAAGAACAGTAAATTGAGTGTCATCAGGTTCAGTTTGCACCAGTAGTGTGTACAACAGAATTAACAAAATATGAGTTAAGAACAGTAAGTTGACTGTCATCAGGTTCAGTCTACACCAGTAGTGTGTACAACAGAA